CATTAATATCATGATAACATCATACTAACAGTGATGATCACAAAGGTAATGATTGTGATTATTACAGTGACAGGCAGGCACGGTTTAACAAACAATGACCAGTCGAATATAGCCAATGATCAAGAAAAAAGCCAGCATTACTTACTTTCTCAGCTTATTGAGTATGCTTGAATCAGGTGTTCCTATGATGTCATGAATTTTGGCAATCTGATCGACTTCATTTGCACCAGGAAACAAAGGATGAAGACTGAGGGGACAAAAAAAAGTTAATTTCAGAACATAAAAACATATGTATAACATATATATATATATATATATATACATCATATTTCTGTTGTATGTGCAAAGACCTATCATCTTTTATATGCATATAATAGTAGATAGAGCCGTGTTAGTCTGGCAGACGTATGAAATAAAAACACTAGTGGCACGTCTCTATAAACTAACTTCAATTATTTATTACACAAGCTTTTGCCAGCAGTCTATGTTGGCTTCATCAAGTGTAGTGAATTGGTACGGAGATGATGTGAAATATACACCTGATGAAGCCAGCATAGAATGCTGGTGAAAGCTTGTATAATAAATAATTGAAGTTAGTCTATAAAGTGTCACCAGTATTTCTATCTTTTATATGGTAATAGTTATGTGCAAAATCAATATTTAATTAGAATTTTCTAGATTTTTTTGGTTACATACTTGTAGTAATTTTATCGATTGTGTATATTCTCTGCGTGCTATAAATATTTATTTATTATTGACACAGGCTCCGCTTTTATAAATACGTTTATCGATGTTGTGTATTTGCAAAAATAAATAAATTTAAATTATAGATATAAAAAGATTAAGTCAACCAAAAGCCTAAAAATATATATTATAATACAACATTACAATTTACATTCTGGAAAAACAATGAATATTAAAAATAAAGGGTAGTAAAATATTTGTACGATGAGCTCTCTGTGAGTACTTAATGCGGTGCTGTCTGTTAATTGAAGGTAACAAACTTGGGCACCAACATCATGTTGTGTTCTCTTTAATCACGTCGGTCGACGTATTTGCTCAGTTAAACCATAGCAATATCAATAACCATAAAAAAAAAAAATAGTGACAACTAGAATAAATATGATATAAAAATATTACTAAAAGAATTATAAAATAAATTACTAAAAATTGTAACAATAAACCTACTAATTAAATTGAAAAAAATTCAAAAATCCAATAGAGATTTTTTCCCACCCAGAATGAAAATTTTAATCAGTATAAAATTAGAGACCTCCTATGCATTAGGATATGCCAGAAGCTCATGTAACAGCAATTGTAAGGTTTAAGTGGCCATTAGCCTATTAATTTTCTTATTTCAAGGTAAACTTTAATTTGTTGTAAAATTCAATCTTGTTACATCCATACATCAAACATGCATTTAAAATGAGAGGGTAATTACCCTATGGTCTTGTAGGATGCATCACTTATGTTTCTGTATATATCACTCACGTGGATGAAAAACTTCGGAAGAGGAAGAAGTATTTGTAATATAATAAATTATATTTAAATAAAATCATACAACGTGTACGCTGCCTCAGCAGTAGAGGTTTAGGTAGCTTTGATCAGCAGAGTATGAATGCTTTGACCTTTAATTTATTCACAGCTATGTCACCTACTAGAGGTAATGTTTTGATTGGTTTAAACACCTTTGGTACTTGTGCATATAAGCTTGCAAATATGGATAATTTTTCATTCCCGATGACTTAATTAATGATGAACGATGGCATGCATTTCAATACCGTACTTGGATTATGTATTATACTACTGTATTGTCTCTAATAAACGCCCCCCCCCCCTTCTAATAAACTGAGTTTTTTTCATTTTGCAATGAGTGCCCAATCAATTAACATGGGTATCTAGTCCAAAAAAAGGTTGACAAACAAGGAGTAATACTGTGCATAGGCGTAGATCCTGGGGGATGGGGGATATATCCCCCCAATATTTGACAAGGGGTGGGAGGATGGTCCATTGTATCATTCCCCCCCCCCCAATATTTTGACTATGTATGGGATAAAATGGAGCTTTACAGACTTCAAAAGACTGTCACAGAAATAATTTGCACTGTCTTATGCGCTTACAAAGATGAAAATTAGCATAATGATAACAAAATTATTTTATCTGGTACCAATCTATGCTCTTCTTTCCTTAGATGTAAGATGTGCTTGCAAAGAGAGTCACATTTCAACTGAAGGGTGTGTACGGCATCAGTAATGTTATTTCAATTCCAAGAATGTTTAAGGTTACATCGGTTGATGAGGAATTTATTGATTAGGCCTATAATAGCAAATTGCATCAATTTATTTTGCAAAAACAAGATTTCCAGCTTCAGAGAGGGGGGGGGGGCACATCCCCGGTCTGCACAAGGGCACACATTGGCGCTAACACCAGGCGTGTAACAGGGGTCTTGGGTCAGAGTGGGTATTTATTTTCCCGGTTAGTAATTTACCATACCAACCCCACTCCCCATATAGAAAACAGTACGACATAGGGCTTATCTTATTTATAATATAGGCCACACACGTGTGTTTGAAACTAAATATAAGCATTTTCATCATGGTTTTATTTATTACAAACATATTCTTTCACCATCAATACACATTGAGGCCCTTCTTTTAGGTTAAAACGATCTATCTTAAATTTGTCTTTCTTGAGTTGGGGACTATTATGTGTTTAAATAACTTAAAAGGATAAACCTAAAAAGCCCTTAAAAATGCGCGCGAAGCGCGTAAAATATTTTTGTGTTTTTAATTCTAATTTCGTCGGAATTGATGAAAACTCCCTAAAATGTGCAATTTATAGAGGAAATTGGCCTACCGTAACAAGAAATGTTCACAAAGAATTTGAGAATTTTA